TATTCATATAATTCATGAAATAAAATTCATTGTGTGAATATTTTAAAGAAAAATATTTTTAACAGGAATATTACGTGTTTTGCCGATAAAGGAAAAGTCTAGTGAGAGATAATTGAGAATCCAACTAAAGTGTCCTCAACATTATAAATATTTCAATGGGACTTGTGCATTCACTTGAAACATGTAAAATATTTATAATACAGCTTTTTCCGTCAATCATTAACTTATAAGAATTAATATTAGTATACAAAGCAAGATATTTTATATTTAATTTGTAATTTGTCGTTAACCATATGACAATGAAGCATATTATTATTATTATTATATAATTGTACTAATAACGTCCACGCATATAAAAATAAAAGCTACATTTCTCTTCAAAAAGATTCTTATAAGTACTTACAGTTGTTATATAAACAAAAATTATCTTACAGCATTTCGATTGAAAACTGAATTGAATGGCTCATGGTATGCGTTTAGATGCAGTAAGCTTGGGGGCCAAAGGCACGCCGAGGATGAATGAATGGATCGGTGAATGAACATACCGGACGCACACGTATATGGGGGAGGAGGAGGGCAGGGCTTCAGATTCCATTCCCTTTCCGATCCCAGTCCCATTCTCATTCCGTCAACCTTCCGATGTGCCTTGTGCCGTGAACGAACAACGAGATTGGAATCCATAAAGAGGATCCTTCCGTTACCCATTGAACGCCACGTCAAACCACGTTTCCCTCGCAATCTTGTTGTGATCGAGTAACGAGATACACGATCAAAAAATAAATAATATTATTTTTTAATTGAATCTTGATTTCTTTGTCCTGCCTCCTTCTCTCTCCCCTGACTTCCCTGAAAAATTTTGATACTTGAGTTAAGCGTTGTTTTGTGGCTTACAGATGATCGCATTAAGATTAGTATTATCGACACGAAACTTGTCGCTGCTTCTATTATAGCTTTGTATATTTTTTTTCCAAAGAAAAGTAACACGTTCATCACGGAAACATTGTCTCGATGAGGACGATTCTATCATTCTTAGATTAACATCTTCGCCGAAAAAGACTCTCAAGTATTTCTTGGAAAAGATTTTAGGAAGCTGTGGAGCTCGTATTAGTATTCAACGGGAAATTACACCTCGCCCAAATTTAAATTCAAGCCCGATATTCATGAGAGATAGACACCTTATATTTGCGATAAAGAACAAAGAAACAAACTTCGAAACATCTTGTCCGGAGTCGTGTTAACGACTGACTGAGCGTTTGAGATTTTTTGTCATGTCGCAACCAACCGCGTCTGTTGCAGTTTCTTCAGTGGTGGTCTTGACAATGGGATTTCTCATGTCTCCTCGAACTCGACGAGGACTACAAAGTGTTTCATACGAAGCGTTGGCTTCGTAAGAAACGGCTGGAGACTAGAAACTTGTATAACGGTCGCAAGCACACGGTAGCAAGTTACAGGCTTGTAGAGCGAACGGTGGTCGGTCCTTTTTTCACTCGGAGCTGACTGCCCCTCCCCCCCCCCCAAAGGCCAAGGGACCACGATCTTAAAGATTTGAACGAGCGATTCCCTCGAAATTTTTATTCTTCGTGGTTGACCAGCACAACACAATTCCTTTCTTCCGCTGCGCGATGGAATGCCCTCGTAGCATGAGTCACACTTCGCATCTTCACGTTCGAACCTGTACGAAACAAAATTTTACGACTCCAATTAACATTCTACTTCTACCAATGTAGATTATTAACCTTGATCTCAATTTAAATATATTTTTTATCTTTTTCTAATTTTTCGAATCAAAAAAAAAGAACAGAAGCAAATTAAACTGAGAGTTAAAGTTAAGCTAAAGTTAAGCTACATTGGTAGAAATGGTCGTAAGACGGACATTTCTCGTGACATTGTTGCCTGTATCTTGATATTAGAAATGTCGTTCTTTTATTGTATGTTGCCTGCCGCTGACAAATCAATCAAATTGCGTCCGGGAAAATTGCGTAATTTTTTGCTTCTTATTATCGCGAGTCAAAAATATGTTACATTGTTACGTTGCTATTTATCTTTATTCGTGTAACATGCAATAACGCTTTAATAATATGTACAATTTATGAACTTGACATATTTTTGTAGATATTTAATATGAATATTTTTGTAGTTTTGTACGTTAATATTTTTGTTTCATAACAATTTTTAATTGGTTGCAATACAAGGTCGCGCTATTTAAGAAAAAAAAAACAGAAGGTATCTGTTGCGGAATCATTTAATTACGTTGCAGATTTTATGAATTACAAAGAAAGATCGACTTAATTATCCGACTAGCTTTTGCACTTAAGCGACAGTCACGCTAATTGCAATGCCATTGTCTCGTTGCATCGCCATCATTACCAGTCGCGTGATTGTATCATCATTATCTAAATTAAATAAGAGACATTGTTCTTAGCATCAAGAGTAATAGCAATTACTGAAACACTTTTAACAAACAATTTTATATGTATATGATCTCCGAATTAGATTTTAAACATGGCACATTATCAAATTTTTTTATAAATATAACGCGCATGATAAAATAAATATTATCACACACGTAGGTAAGTTTTTAAAAAAGTTATCAAAAAAAAATTCATATTTATCCAACCTACCTTATATATCAAACCGAATGTATGTCTACAGAATTAGTTTGTCAATATCCATCTCTCTGATTGAAATTTTTTTGAATAAGTTTTGACTCGAAATAACTTTAAATAAAAATTACTCGAAGGTATTCATTGAAAGTTGGAATGTTGAAAGATATACGTTCAATCATACAACTTTTCTTCTTCGCGCTTTTTGGCACGTTAGCGGAGGGTAAGTAAATCCAACGGCGGAATCGCTCAGCCTCATCGTAACAGGAAATCCCCCCCAAAGAAAGAGGGTTTGGTGAGGGCCGAGAGCACGCGGGAGGTAAGCATGTTCGCCGACCAGGTTCCAGCACTGGCATGCCATGCCCACCGTGAGCACCTGCCACTTATTTCCTCTCGGTTTTGCTTTCTTTCTTTCGTCCTCCTCGCTCCCTCCCTTCCGCCTCTCGTTTTCTCTCTTAACTCCCATTAAACGTCTTCGGCGGACGACCGGCTACCGCCCGAAATGAAAGAGTAAGTGTTTGCCAAGGAATCTCCGCGATCGATGACGGTCTGCACCGGTAACTCGGTAAACCCAATTTCTATCGGTGTGATTATGCCCCTGCTCTTGTACCCCTATAGCGGATAACAATCTACCGCTATAACCGCTTTACTTGACGAGCCACATTAGCGTATCGAGCGTGATGAATTTTTTTTTCATATTCTTAGGTTAAATGAAAATTCTTGTACTACTTGAAAGAATTATCCTTTTAAATAAAAAAAATTTTTTTTAAACAATATTTGAAGCAACCAAAAATTTATAAAGAAAATTTATGAAATGATTCTTTTCCTTCCTAGAAAGATATATTTGAGCTTAGCATTAAGTTATAAATATTCAATATTATAATGCTCTTATTCACTTATTAAGAATAAGTATTAAAGCACTCAGGTTGCCAATTCGGCTTATCATTATGTCATCGCGGACTCGCTTAATTACAAAAACGAGAACGATAAAGTATCTGCCGATCAATTCCTGAGAGGATCCGCGAAACCACCACATGGCATCTGTTACACGCACTCCAACGAGGCTTATCTAAAATTGTTTTGGCGCCCTCCGGGCCCCCCATTAAAATCGCAGGATTGAAATAATCAGATCGGACGAGTTTCTGTCCAATTATACGCGTGCCGTGTGCCACCAACCGTGGGCCCTGGGGTCTCACGAGGGTTAAAAGTGGACGGGTCGTGGGCGGGTCGAGATCTAATTCAGAGGCCCACGGCTCCCACCTGGCCAAGGTATTCTCATTATTCCTGGGGCCGGGCCCATACGCTCGGCGCATATTTGTGTGCCCTATAAAAGAAACATTATCCGGATGAAGTTGCGCTCGGAATTTTTGCTCGGAACTTTTGGCATATATAAAGAAAAAAAAAGGAATTAAGCGGTTCTCTTTCACATACTATAATTTTCTATACTATACTATATTTGATCTTGTTTCTTTTTTTTTCTCTTTTTGAGAATAATGTATTACACTTAAGCGCCTCCCCATAAATGGAGAAATTACGAAAGAGTTTGGATCATACTCGAAGAAACGAAATCAATTGAGAGAGTTTTTTGAAAATACTCTAATCTGTCTTATCATGAATAATATAATAACAAACAAAATATATAAAAATATATAAATATATAAAATATATAAATTACAAAAAAATGATAATAAAGGTTACATGGATATATTTTCTCAATAATGTCAGCTATTTTATATTCATCAATAATATTAAGAGTAGTATAATATTATAAATACTGAGAATACTGATATCTGTATCTTTTGAATTACAATAAATTCTCGTAATAAATACATTCGTGATTAATATGTGAATTTTAAGTGCATTCCTCTGTTTTAATTTACAGTAGATATTCTAAAATAAAAAAAAATAAAAATAAAAAAATGATATGCATAAAGCATAGTGAGATGAATTTAAGTTATCCTTTTTATTGTAATTCAAAAGATACAGAATAATTAAAATAATAGTAAAAAATTTACGTGACATAAATTATGACAATTATGTGACATAAATTATATAGAATAATAATTATAATATATTAATATGTTATGTTATTCGCGCTACAAAATATTACAATTTACCTGAAGTAGAAGTTCTTCAGAGTACACATTGTTAATAACAACAATTATTACTGCATTTACACTAACTTCTCTATAAATATAAAGTGGCATATATTTATAACTTTTATGTATAGCAAATGTTTGTAATATTTATATTACTAGAAACATATATATTTTATTTATAAAAAGTTCTTAATATTACCTTGGTTTTATTTTGACAAAATTTTCTAATATATGCTCAAGTTTCTTTTTATTCTTTACATCTCTCGCAACAGAAAAAAGGAAAATGTTAACACGCACGTTCTCTTGTATGGTTATATTCTTATTATAATCTTGCGTCTTATATCTTCTAACTGTGCTAAATTGTAGATTACACATGGAGAACGAGACAAGAATGTTAAAAATTTGTTATCAGAACTTTCTTTCAATATATTCCACACTGATTGCCAGAGCTGCGTCGAATTAGATCCCATAAGACCGTTACAAAATGTCCATTCTTTCCACCATGGCAAAAGCCTGCATATAGAAGAAATAACAATTTCTCAAAAAATTCATTTTGTATTTTGGAAAATAATATGAGTAATATTAGACAAGTAGTACATGTACGTATATATATGTGTTATGTATCTATGTATGTATATAAATTTAAGATATATTCTTATTTTCAACTATGGCTACACATGCCGTTAATTTAAACAAACTCGCGGTTTAGCGGATCAGACCCATAGCTTTTTCCATTAATTTTTATTTCAAAAAATTCTCATTTCAAAAAATATTAGGAAAATATTAATAAGAGTATTAAGGCTTTGTATTTTGATCAAATATTTTGTTAAACATTGATGAGATAAAAAAGAGTATTATTCAAAGAATAATTAAATACGTTACTTATTTTCTGTAGGATTATCAATATGCCATGTCAATTTAGAAACGGCATTACTTAGACATCGAGATTCGCCGAGAATACATGCCCATCTTGCGGCTTCTTGCTTTAAGCACTTAATAAGGTCATTATCATCAGACTTTTCTGTATAGTCCATCTTAATGAAAAGTTCGCGAATATGTGCCTAGAAAGGTGATTAAATATACAGACATTTTCCAATTAATTAAAACATGCAGAATGAAAATTTTTATATAAAAGCTTCAATTATTTGTTGTAATTCTCTCTCTTTCTTTCATTCCGTATTTAATAAAATTAATACGCATGTCAAAAGTGTAGTATGTTGTATAATGTAATGATATTAAAATATATGATCTTTTTTATTAATTCTTAATAATTCATTAAATTTAATTTTTAATAATTTATAAAATTTAAGGTGAAAAATAAATATACATATAGGATATCTATAATACTATTTACATATATTGCTGCTGTAAGTAGTGCAAGTTTTAACATAAGGTAAAAAATTTTGTAGTATTTTACAATTAATTGCTCCAAACCAATATTTGGATTAATATATTCACAGTTTGAGGGAATAAGAAAAATTATTATACTGCCAAAGAATTTCAATAATTCCATGATGATATTTATTTCAGGTTGCCATCCTATTGTAAAAAAAAGATTTAATCAAAATGCATTTCCTTCAATGTCACTTACAATTAGTAGATTAAGGTAAAAGAACAACAGGGATTTACTACAGAAATAATTATAGTAATTTCTAAAAAAGAATAATGAGGAAAAATACAATAATTACCAAAAATAATTACCAAAAATTTTGTTAAAAATTAAGTAATTGATATTATCAGATTTACAGTTCTAAATAATATAGTTTCATCAAATCTAATTTCAGTTTTGTTTGTTGGCGAGCGTAAAAAAGAAGTATATCATAATGCGTAAAATACTTGTATTATTATAAATTGATAATGTTGAAACACGTTCGCAAAGATCTTATTGGTTCGACGAATCATTAAGAACTGATAATAATTTGACATTGTAATAACATAATATGATGTCAACAGTTCCTGAGGTCTTAAGTACATACCTATTTTTCACTATTGATGCTACGTATCAAAATATAATCAAATAATTATAACGGATTATATATATTTTTAAAATAACTTTTATCAGAAAAGTATTTAAAATACCATCGACGATATTTAGTAATCGTGTTTATTCTAAAAACGCAATTAGAATGTTTGTCATTTTTATTACAATTTATTAAATACTTTATCCAAGTTCAATAATATTCAAGACTGAAATGGCTGTTTCTATACTATATTTTCTTCTATATTTTTGGTCAATTTAATGATGACACAGATTATTTTATAAATGAATAAAACGAAAGTCTTAAGATATGTATGTTTGGCGAGTACTGAATTATTATATAAACTCTATAATTTATTAATGTTGAATTAATTAGTCCTGCAAATACTTTAAGAAAAATTTATATTTTTTTCAGAAACATAATAAAAAACAATAAAAAAATTTTTATTTTATAACTATAGTATGTTATTATATCAAGCTTTCCTATTTTTATTCTGGTTATAGTATAATTTTCTGAATTTTGTATAAAAATTACATACAACATTTAAAATTAATAGATTTTTCCTTCACAGTTTTTTAAACTATACAATTTAATTTTTTCGTTATTACACACTTCAAATTGTTAAAATCCTGTATGCAAGACAATTTAAGGTCTATATATGATTCGATTTTTTCATTGCGATAAATACATTGAGAATATAACAGTCAGTATTGAATTTATACAGATGTCTATTTTTTAACATAATTAAATTAAATTTAAAGTAAGGAACATGTGAAGTAGCACAAATTGATTAGTAAACCGTCAGCCAACGTCGAGCCAACAGTCTGGCCAACATTCTGACAACTAAATAAAACGATTATAAACTTCGATAAATTCTTCTTGTAATAGAATCTTGATTTACACAAAAGTAACTGAGTCGATTTTAAAATGTATTATATAAAACAATTTTTTATTAATAAATTATATAATATTATATGCAAAGAAATATCAAATTGCTACGAGTCACATAAAGTGAAATTATATGTATATTACATTTAGATTAAAGGTATATAATTTTTGAGAAAGAAGAGAAGGAAGAAAATTAAAATTTAGTAATTATGTAATGGTACATAGCAATACACACATTACAATTACACGAATTCCCTGCTTCCAATTTGCTACGAAGGCCAATCAACCGGTATAATTAGTAGATGCACTCGGTGCACTCGATACCTTTCATCTCATTTTCCGACGTCACGTGACCACTCCGCCATATTAGGCTGCGTTCCGATATTCACTGCCAGTACTGAAAATGTATAGTTCAGGTCACGTATATTATAGATTTTCAGCACTGGCGGTGAATATAGGGACGCAGTCCCCAATTTTATCCCGTAACCTCTGATCTCTGACAGTTCTCCAACAGTTTTTCTATTTGTCTCTGTCGATCATTGACAGTCATTGGTCGCTGTCACGCGGGAAGAAGCGAGCAAACGAAATATCGAAATTAAATATACACAAAGGGAGAATGCGTATCGCGGTGTAACATCGTATCGGGAATTATTATACGAAATCGCGCGTTCAGCACCGTTTTGCTGCTTGACAGCTGGTTGCAGTGCCACGTGTTTCCAGCGGCGCAGAGTTTCATCCTTCATCGAGCGCGAAGCGGTAAATCATGGTGCTGGACCTGGACTTCTTCCGCAAGGACAAGGGTTTCGACCCGGAGACGATTCGGGAGAATCAAAAGAAGCGTTTCAAGGATGTGCAGCTGGTGGACACCGTGATCGAGAAGGACAAACATTGGCGGCAGTTGCGTCACCGTGCCGACAATTTCAACAAACTCAAGAACCTGTGTAGCAAGGAGATCGGCGAGAAGATGAAGCGAAAGGAGCCGCTCGGCGACGTCGACATCGTGCCCCAAGCGATCGCCGACGATTTGGATAATCTGACCTCCGAGAGTCTGAAAGCGTTGACGGTGATGCAGATCAAGAGAATACGCACCCTCATAGACGAGGCTATACAAAAAAACGATGAGAGCCTCAAGGCTACAGAATTGGAGAGGAACAGCGCGCTCAGGGAGGTGGGAAATCACTTGCACGAATCTGTGCCTGTTAGCAATGATGAGGAAGAGAACAAGGTATATTTGATACTCTTATGTGATTTAAGTAAGATATTGCTTATTCTTGGCGTTTTGTTTTTTTTTTATATTTAACGTTTTGCCCTAGGTGGAGAGAACGTGGGGAGATTGCACCGAAAGGAAAAAATACTCTCACGTTGACCTGATCCACATGATTGATGGAATGGACGGAGAACGTGGAACAAGTGTATCCGGTGGACGAGGATATTTCCTCACTGGGCCAGCGGTGTTTCTTCAACAAGCCTTAATACAATTAGCATTAAAGAAATTATTCAAGAGAGGCTACAAACCTCTCTATACTCCATTCACTATGCGAAAGGACGCGATGCAGGAAGTAGCACAACTTTCTCAGTTTGATGAGGAATTATACAAGGTATTTAAGGAATGAGGTTTTGGAAGAATAAGATGATTTATCAATATTTATTTCTATTAATGTTGATCAATTTTAATCTTGACCTATTCTTTTATCATTTTTTTGTTCTTAGAATTAAAAAGGTATAAAAATAATTAAATCAAGATTATAGCTGATCTACATTGATTGAAATGAAACTAAGACTTTTCACCTAAGCTTTACTGAATCATAATTATTCTTATTTTATCAGGTGATTGGTAAAGGTAGCGAACGTAACGAGGACAAAGAAATGGAAGAGAAATATCTTATCGCTACCTCGGAGCAGCCGATAGCGGCTTTTCACAGAGGCGAATGGATAGCGGAAAGTGCGTTGCCAATAAAATACGCTGGAATCTCTACTTGCTTTAGACAAGAAGTCGGTTCTCATGGACGAGATACCAGAGGTATCTTTAGGGTACATCAATTTGAAAAGGTATCTAATACTAATTGAAAATTGGCTGTTCATCAATTTCAGCATATAAATTTAATATATATATACGCTGTTCTTTTATTTGGTAGGTCGAACAATTTTGTCTTACCTCGCCGCACGACAACAAATCCTGGGAGATGATGGAAGAAATGATTACCAATGCAGAAGAATTTTATCAGGCCTTAGATATTCCTTATCGTATAGTTAATATTGTATCTGGAGCACTGAATCATGCAGCTTCCAAGAAATTAGATTTGGAAGCCTGGTTTCCTGGCTCGGGTGCGTTCCGCGAGCTCGTATCGTGTAGCAATTGCTTGGACTATCAAGCAAGAAGATTATTAGTCAGGTCAGTAGATTGAATTAAATATAAATATCGTTATTTTCATAAGATTTATCGTAACAAAACTTATGGAACTCATTTAATTTGCAGACACGGTCAAACGAAGAAGATGAACACCACGACGGATTATGTTCACATGCTGAACGCGACGATGTGCGCAGTGACGCGTGTGATTTGCGCAATTTTGGAAGTACATCAAACGGAAACCGGCATCAGGGTGCCAAAAATTCTGGCGGATTACATGCCTTCCGAATACGAAAGCGAGATCCCGTTTGTGAAAGCCGCGCCGATCGATGAGATTGAAACGAAGAAACAAAAGAAGCAAAAGGAAAACGTGTCGAAGTAGCATGGTTACGTGAACACGGCAATGAAGCAAGTGGACTATCTACAGATCTTATTTATTGCATTTTTTTAATTGCATTTTTTAAAATATTCCATCGCGATTCAACCAGATCGCACAGAGCTGTTGTAGTAACTATTTAAGAAAATATATACACGAGTTTTTTTGGCTTCTCAATATTGACAACCTTTCACGTATCTCAACATCTCTTTCCTCTTTCGACTCGAAAATTAAGATGTCCTTTATTTTATGCACGGAGGCACAAAAATTATTCGGAGGCATAACAATTTCTACTCTCAGATATCGACATTTATTACTTTTATTACTCAAGAAGGCATGTATCCGTTTAAACGTCGTGTCAAGCTTAGAACAATCGGCGATTGTCAACACAGATTACAACATTTTATTTGATAACACTTGTTCAATATTTTTATAATCAGACATCGGTATATAATATATATGATTCTGTAATATACATTTGATGAAGAATATTTTTCGTATATAATATTCCATATTATTTATATCTGCTTCCTGAAAACTCGTAATATCTTCATAATATGTGCTAAGAATCTTCCTTTTCCCTTCGTTTTGTTTCTGTTTTTTTTCGTTTTTTTTTTACAATTATCAGTTATCGTTAATGCTAATGTACAACACAGAGGCCATTAAAATTTCTCCCCCTTCCAGAACAATATGCACTTCAGTGTGTATGTCGAGAAAAGAAAAGAAAAAGCAAATTCTTTTACGCGCTTCACGCCAACACCAAGTTACGATCTCTCTCTCTGTGACGATTATATTCACCAAGAGGAAAGCCGGCGTACGTGCCGACTCCGTAAGACTGACGGTAACGTATGCTAATATCGGTGTAATAATACTTTGGCCAGGCATAAGATAATTCACCATACTGCTTTTCACCTTATAATAAAATATAGACTTTACATTGTGGTACGCGCGCGAGAAAATTTTTCATATATAATACACTTCACATACAGAGTAAATCATCCGTTCGCAGCGGTGTGTACCTTGCCGAAACAATATTAAGACTCTAATTCGAAATATTACTATTATTATTATTATTATTATTACTCGCGACCGTAGCACCTATGATTTATGTACTGAGCAGAGTAATTTAACTTCGATGAAATTGCAGATTGCGATGCGAGATATGGAAATGTTCGGCCGGTTGAAGGACCGACGATGGTGCGACATTCTACGATCGACCGGAGCAATCGTTTTGGAGATGTCTGGCCGACGTTGCCTTTAAATAGAAGCGGCGTAATCGAGCTCTCAAACATTTCCAAAATTTTCATCGAAGATCGCAAAATCTGGCGGACTCGTCAACCGAAGGAAAAGAAAAAAAAAAAGAAACAAGCGCGCACACTCAATTTTACATCGTACATAATTACAGACGAAACAAACGGTTTTGCACGATCGAGATACTGAAAACGAATCAAATACGAATGTCACAGTGCCGTTCGTATAAATTTCTTTCTCATCTCATGTTCCTGCTCGCATCCCAGTCGCTCCTTAGAGAAAAAGTAAACACATGTCTAAGTTCAAAACGGCCGGTGTGTTATCCGGCAATTTGGTCCAACAAACTGGTACTCATATTAAGGGGCGTCAGTATTAAAATCTGCCAATCGCCGTCGGCTCATTCATCCGCAAAACGCGCTCGGTTTGCATTCACCTCATAAACACTGAAACAACTGATTCGTGAGATATTGATTGACAGGTACAATGCTAAAAATTGGCAAATGAACAGTGTTACGATAATTATGTTAGTGTAAAAAGGGATGATCTTTTTTCGAAAAAAATTTCTCTCCATATTTGATATCTATACATATCTCATGTCGATTAGATTATTACGAAAAATATACAGGTATATGCATCATTTTCTTTTTTTTTTTTTCCCTATTTCTAACGTAATTTCTACTAGTAGTTAAC